TTAGAACGTTCATCGTGGTGATGAACTCAATAAATAAATGTACTATTGTTCCAATAATGTGTACAGGGTTTTGTTTCGTTTTCCTTTTCGCTAGTAGTCGTGCCATTTGTTGTATAATTTTTACTTCAAATCTGAGTAATGCTCGGCTGTATTCATGAGACATTTCATTCTTTTATCTACTGTTTTCACATCCTGTACTCAAGTTAAATGGGCGGCTAAAGGTGCGTCGTCTAGAAGTTATTTAACTTCAAGTTCAGTCTGTCACTACAAAACAGCGGTATTTTGATGGCAGACTGCATTTTTATTTAATATCTAATTTATCAGTATCAATAGCAAAATTTCTAGACTCCTAATTTTGGTTAATTTTTACACCTAAAATTGCAATTTTTGAATTTGAGTCTGCCAGTAGATGGCTGGGGCCTAACATAGGCAGACTACGTTTTTATTTAACTACTAACATATATGTATCATATAGTGAAGTTTCAAATCTCCTAATTGTATGAAATGAAAATGAAAATATTTTTTTATTATCCTGGGACTGTTGTCCCTTTAGGACAAATTACAGATACAGAATAAATGCCTGTGTGGCCATACATAAAATTAATTATTTACATTTATTATTAAGATTTAGATTTTGAAAAAATAATAAAACAAAAAATATAACTATTACACTAAAAACATCCTGATATGTATAATACAAACTATATAATAAAATAAAATAGCATAAGTAAAGAAAATCATTTCTGGGGGAACTTTAAAAGTTCTCTTATCTACATTTCATGATCAATTGGGTTGGGAAATGAGTAGGTGGTTAAAAAGGAGAGATTTAAATGAGGAACTGATTGTACATGTCGGATATCGGGAGGGATGGTATTCCAGAAGGAGACGGCTTGAATTATAAAGGATTTGTCAAACGCTGCAGTTCGGTGGGGAGGTGGATAGAGGTCGGAGGTACGAGATCTAGTGAGACGGGATTGAATGGAATATTTGAATTGTAGGTTGTGAAAAATATAGGAAGGCCGCTGAGTTCTGATAACTTGGTATAGAAAAGTGGCAAGGAAGTACAAACGGCGGTTGGATGGATAGAGCCACTTCAACTTGGTGTAATACTGGGTTATATGCGTATCTCTTGAGATTCCGAAAACAAAACGTATTGCGCAGTTCATTAGGCGTTTAAGTTTGGCCTCGAATTCTCCCGAGTGTCCGCCGTACACCAGACAGCCATAGTCGAAGTGGGGGAACACAAGGGAGGAAACCAGGAGTTGACAGGATTTATATGGAAGGAGATAGCGGAGACGGTTAAACTGTTTCAGGGTAGAGATAGTACGACGGGAAATTTGGGAGATGTGTGGTTTCCAGGAGAGGGTTTGATCGAATGTAACACCAAGATTTTTTACGGAAGTATGGAATGAGATAGGTGAGTTGTTCAGGAAAAGATTGGGGAGTATCTGTATGGATTTGAGGAGTGAGGGAGATCCGATCAGAATGGCTTTCGTCTTATTGGCGTTTAGAGTAATCCTATTGTGATTTGCCCAGGCATATATTGCATTTATATCTTCCTGTAATTTTTGGATGGCGCCAGAGGATTCGGTTGAATTGAAGGAGAGGTAAATCTGGACGTCGTCAGCGTATAGATGGTATGGACAGTGAAGGATAGAGGATGAAAGGTCATTGATGTAGATGGAAAAAAGGGTGGGAGATAAAGAGGAGCCTTGTGGGACACCCCTGGACAAAGGTAAAGGTTCTGATGGGGGGTTATTGGGGACTACAACATACTGGGAGCGGTCGGAAAGGAAGGATTGGAACCAATTAAGGGTACTAGTTGAGAAGGAAATATTTTTAAGCTTGGTTAGGAGAATTTTGTGGTCTACTAAGTCAAAGGCTTTGGAGAAGTCAAGGAGAATAAGGATGGTGAGTTTCTGCTGGTCCATGGCTGTATGAAGGTCTTTGGAAATTTTGATGAGGGCAGACTGAGTAGACTGAGCGGAAACCGGACTGGTTGGGATTGAGGAGGTTATTCTGTTCTAGAAAATCTGATACCTGGGTTTGAACTAGTCGCTCTAAAGGTTAAGAAAGATTTGAGATGAGAGAAATTGGACGGAAATCATTGAGAGTTGATGGGTTGGAAGTCTTTTTCATAGGGCGAACTAGTGCGGTTTTCCAGGATGTAGGAAAGGTAGCATTTTGTAGTGAGTAATTGTAGATATGGTAGAGGATTGGAAGGATGGATGGTAGTGAGGCTTTGATCAAACTGACTGGGATGTTATCATGTCCATAATCATTGGTTTGCGACTTTTGAATGGAGTTGAGGAGGTCATCAGGTGTAATATGGGAAAAAAAGAATTGATCAGGATTAAAATTTATAGGTAAACACACAGGAGTCAGCATAGCCGCGGGAGATGAGGATGAGAAGGGACAGGAGACAAAGTGAGCGTTAAGGTCATCAACAGAAAAGGAGAGGAGCTGGGTTTGAGGTGTGTTGCAATTGGTCAGTTTTTTTAAGATAGTCCACTTGGCCTTGGAGTTTGGGGTGTTGAATAAGGAATGATGGAAGTAACGGGATTTGGTTCGGCGTAGAGCTGACTGAGTGCTGTTTCGTAGTTGCTTGAAGGCGATATAGTCTTCCGAGAGTTGGGTACGTTTAAACCTTCGTCTTGCCGCATCTCTTCTTCTCATGCACTCTCTTAAAGCGGGTGTCAGCCAAGGAGCAGGGGAATGTCGGATGGTTTTAGTTAGGAGAGGAGCATGGCAGTCGAGGATGGTATGAAGATGGTTGGTAAGGATTTATTAAATTATAGTCAATTTTTTCATCAAAAATTGCAATTTTTGAATTTGAGTCTGCCAGTAGAAAGCCGCGGCCCAACATAGGCAGACTACGTTTTTATTCAACTGTTAATATACAAGTATCATATAGTGAAGTTTCAAATCTCCTAATTATAGTAAATTTTTTCATCAAAAATTGCAATTTTTGAATTTGAGTCTGCCAGTAGATTGCCGCGGCCTAAAGAAGGCAGACAAAGTTCTTTCTTCGTTTTATCACACACATTCAATGTAGTTATAATTTCAAGGCTCCTAAGATTGGTAAATTTATTACCTTAAAGTTGCAATTTTTTAAATTTAGTCTGCCAATGGAAAGCAGCGGCACACAAACGGCAGACTGCTCAAAAATGACGCTTCATTGTAAAAAGATTCATCTAGCCTGCGATGAGGTCCATTTTCGACAAATTTGGACCTCTTAGCATGGCCGCCATTTTTGAAAGCAGCGGCTTTGGAATGGCAGACAAAGTTCATTTTAATTAAAATGTTATACACTTTCATAATTTACATTCAAACCTTCGCCTGCGATGAGGTCCGTTTTTTGGTCCTGGCTCCAGGGCTATTTTAAGGCAGTAGAAGAACTGCAACGTCTGTAATGCCAACAAAAAAAAAAATCTATATTTAATATTTTTTTTTGTCGTGCATGTATTTTCACTTTTTCAAAAAGGTTTCATTTTTACTTCATTTCTTTCATTCTAACACTTTCATTTATTTACTTGTATTTCCCATCTTTTGAGGAAACTTCCGGGGAAAAGATTTGTATTTCAATTTTGAAATAACCCTAACTGCAACACTAAATTTTCATCAAATAATGTCAATTTTTTCTCATGGCCTCTTGGACTAAAAAAATTGGAACCTAAGGAAAAACTGCAGGGTAAACAGATTACCGCTCAACTAATAGAACTCACCAACAGGTCCACCACTGTCCTGGTGAAGATTAAGGGGGGGAGCAAGCAAAGATGCTGATACAGATGCAAGCCCTAGAGAATAAAGGACTAAAAGACAACCTGTCAAGAAGAAAGAGAGTGAAGATGGAAATCAATGGATTACCCGAGAACTGGAAATCCTCTTACTTAGAGGACTTCCTATGGAGAAAACTTGAGAGCAGAGGGATAAATAGACCTGGAGAAGAGTGTAATAGGAAGGAATGGGATAGGCCATGCTTTTCAAATCTTGAGAGAGGGAACCTAAAGAAAACTTCAGACGGAAACATTCTTCCACGAAAACAGCAGTCTTTCAGATAGAAGAAATCTCCTGCACCTTCTGGATGTTGAGCAATGAGGACTACTTGGATATTCCCCTGTATCTGAAATGTCAGGAATCTGGTCATACCAAGAGAGTGCCCAGTGTATTCATAAATGATGGAAACAGTAAAGAACTGCTATGCTTAGTGGCGACTCTGGCCTTTGTTCCTAATGGGTGAAGGTCCCATACGGTTCCTGAGAGCCACTGGACTGAAAAGAGGACATTAAGGCACAGTCTTACCATGGGAGGTCCATGCACTGGACTGTGCCACAGGAAAACCCTATTTTTATTGTTGCTAGAAATAATACATACACTAACTAAAGCATGTATAAAATAAAGAATAATAACAAATACTTTAATTGTTGGCATATAACAAACACTTTGGTGACAGGAGCACATGCAAAACTCATGTGCACTACCCCACTGCTGCTGAGAACTCTGTATGCCAGAAATGGCCAGGTAAGGAGCATAAAAAATAAAAAAATAGAATTTACCAAGTAGAAAACTGTAATATTATCCGAGAGTGATCATAATATAATATATCAAGGAGATGATGGTATGCTTTAATGTTGGCTCACATTTCCGTCTGAGTTTTATACTTTTATCCGGGAGACTAGTATTTATGAAGCAAATAAAGCTGTAAGCAACTACAGACTAATCACCCTACTGAAGGCCAAGAATTGGCACACATTTTTGTGTTTCTACGAATGCTTACTATGTGTTTCTTCTTTATTACATCTACAGTCAATGATATCCCTACCACAATATAATCTAGTGTTAGTTGTGGTGGTTATTTTTAATTTTAAAATCCAAACCAATTTTTTACTCACTATTGTTAAATTGTTAATAAAGACAAAAAAACAAAATTTCAACATGCAAATATAAATTATTGAAATAATTTTAATATTTAAATATTTTTTAAGTATAAATAGACTCACAGTCAGATCATTCCTAACAATACGATTGTACATCCTTACGAATCTTAATACATCATCTCTAGCTTGGAGATTATTATGGTCAACTGGCCTTTGCCATTCTTCCTGGTTGAAGCAAATAAAGATAAGCACAACCTAAAAATATATTTAAAAAAAAATAATAATTTATAGACAGGTAAGTACAATTATTTGAATTGTACAATCATTTATAGACAGCTAAATTATATATCATTTGAATGAATGAAAGTAAATTCTATTCGGGGACAACTAATCTCCCTTACAATAATATAACTACAATTCCAGAAAAAAAAAGTGTCTAGCTTCTGACACTAAATATGAAATGATTTAATTTTAAAATCATAAAAAAAATAATATATTGTAATAAAATAATAAATTGTAATATAGAAATGATAATTACATACATAAATAGATGTATACATATATATCTGTGTGTATCTCAACTTTTTTGTTCTAATAAACAATGAAAATAAATATGAAATACCAAAACAACAATAAAAAATTGAATGAACCAACAAAGAAGAAAAAACAAAAATCCTAACAGACTCTTTTCTCAGTCTATGGTAAGAATTCCCTTAATTCCACTTATAGTCCAGTCAATGAGTGCTCAAAAAGGGGCTATAGAGGGAAATAGAAGGAACACAATTTTTGACTTTGTGACTTCATTTGGACTAGTTAGGAGGTAAACATACTAAAAGTAACTTTAAAACCACTATTGAAAGGTGAGCTGAATGTGCGGGGCAGTGAGGCCACCCAATAGGTCACTTTTTAGGACTACAACGCCCAAATAGGAAAAGAGCCCTACACAAGCCCATCATCAGTCAATATAGCCTGCATCACAGATCAAATGAAAATGGGAAGCGCCTGATAAATTTTGCGGCTTCCAATAATTTACTGATCGGAAGCACATGCTTTCCTGACAAAGAGATCCACCTGGGAACTTGGCGCAAACACGGCCCCAACGGACGAGTCACGACATCTCAAATTGACCATGTGCTCGAGAGCATGAAGCATAGGTCTTCACTCCTTGATGTTAGAACCTATAGGGGTGTTAATGCAAACTCCGACCATTTCATGGTTGTGGCAAAAATCAGAGCCAGAATATCAATCACCAGAATTAGGCGTATAAATATGGCAAAACAATTCGACATCTCCAAGCTAAAGGATGCTGAACGTTGTGCAGAGTTCACAACTTAGGCAGAAATTAGAAGGAATTAGCTCTGAAGAAGATGTCGATAAACAGTGGGATCATTGCCATAAAGCTCTGGCAACAACCGCACTGGGAGTGCTCGGCACTGAATCAGATTTGAGGTGCCATCGGTGGTTCGATGAGGAATGTAAAGCCATGAACACCAGGAAGAATGAAGCCTACAAAAGAATGGTATAGGGCCAATGAACAAGACGATCTACGGAGGAGTATCGAGCTCTGCGACGTCAGGAAGTCCACCTTTGGAGGAGAAAGAAAAGGCAATCACAGAATGAAGCACTCGAAGACATAGAAAAAGCCTATCAAGAAAAGAACTGTCGAAAATTCTTCCAACAATTCAATGAAGAACGAAGACCATTCAAGCCCAGAGCTATTGCCTGTAAAGCGGAGGATGGATCCCTTATCACTGGCAAGTAAGGGATTTTGGATAGGTGGGCAGATCATTTTGAAGGTTTGCTCAATAGGGGTAATGTTGAAGAGGACTTCATATGGTCTGCATGGATGAAGCACAGGAAGCAGATCACTTGAATCCCCCAGATGAATAGGAAATTCAAAATGCTCTGATCAAACTTAAGAACAATAAAGCCCCTGGTATTGACAATATCCCAGCAGAACTGCTGAAGCATGGCGGACACCTTCAAAATGATCTGCCCAGCTATCCAAAATCCCTTGCTTCCCAGTGATAAGGGATCCATCCTCCGCTTTATAGGCAATAGCTCTGGGCTTGAATGGTCTTCGTCCTTCATTGAATTATTGGAAGAATTTTCGGCAGTTGTTTTCTTGATAGGCTTTTTCTATGTCTTCTAGTGTTTCTATTTATTTTATTTTTTTTTGTACATATAGTGTGAAAGTCATCCTACCTCACTATAACCAATTTCCAAGAGACAGATTGTTGTAATACTCAATAAAGAAAAAAAAAAGAAAAAAAAAAAAAGAAATTTCCTTGAAAAAATGTGATTTACATTAAAAAAAAAAAAAAAAAACTGTATAAAAACTATTGGCAACATAAGGATTAATACTATTTGGAATTAGCATTGGGAACTCTCAAAAACATTTATCAGTTTGTAAGAGGCTTTCCCATAGTACTCATTATTACGCCTTCTATTTATACTAATGTTGAATATACCGATATGGTGTTTGTATACAGTTTTTGTAATGGTAATCTACCAGTGATGAATGAATATACCAGGTGATTTCCGAATAGAAGATTACCAAACAAGTCTATCTTTAGCTCCACGTTTCAAAGTCTAGAGAAACTGGCACATTTGCTATAATACCAAGCGCTGATGGTATTTTTGCCCCTTTACGAAATGAAGAAAAGAGTGGGACCATATTACAATATTTTGATGATAATCAATCTGGCAGTGTACGAAGAACTCTCATTGCAGATGGACTTTACCCATATCATTATCAACGGGTACAAAATATATTGCCGCAAGATTTTCGGCAAAGAAGAAATTTTTCAGATTGGTTATTAAATCAATTTGAGCATAATCCCCAATTTTCAGGAAAAATTCTCTGGACAGATGAAGCTACCTTTACATGAAGAGGTATGTTCAATAAAAAAATTAATCATCTCTGATTGCAGGAAACTCTCCATGCAATTCCTGAGCATCATTTGCAGCACCAGTTTCAGTGCAGTGTGGTTGGGGATAATAGACAATACTTTAATAGGTCCGCATTTCTTGCCGCCTCGACTCAATGCGGGTACATTTCTGGAATTTCTTAATAATGATTACTGTTTGTGCCAAAATTACTGTTTTGTTACAGCGAGTGGTGGGGTCAGATCAGAAGATCTAAGAGATAACACTTAATCTGAAACAGCTGACCTTTTTCTCGAAGGCACTTCTTCATTGGCAGCGACTCTGATCACACCACCACACCTGAGGGCCATCAAGGTAACCAAACGATATAAGCAGACATAAAGACAGTAAGCTATTTTTTGCACAATCAGCATAACCTACCAATCCATTAAGATACAGCCCACTGCATACAATTAGAATGTTGCCCATAATTTTGAATTTGCCTTATTGAAATTCATGAGAGTTACTTGCCTTAATTAAACAAGTTGCCTAAACATTTTGGTCCACCTGACAGATTAAATAGTTTTTTTTTTGCCATATTAGCGATGTTTTGCCTTTTGCCGTACGTAAAATTGCCATATAGGTTATGAGAGGTTATATAAAGATCGTCTATTTCCGGGCTGATATTCGTATTTCACCTATTAATTAGTTGCTTTTTTAAATGTAACTTACGTCGTTTATTGCTTTGTTGCACATTTGGGGGTCCACAGTAATAAAAACAAATTTTGTGAAAAAATTATATATTTCCGGTCTAATATTCGTATTTAGCCTAATGAGCACGTTTTTAAAAAACGTTAATCCTTGCTTGTTTGCTGCTGAAGTTTGAAATTGTTTTGAATTAAAGACCTGCTTTGCTGAATTTTGAATAAAAGACTTGCTTTGCTGCACTTTGAATTTATTTTGAATAAAGAGCCTGCTTTACTGAACTTTGAATTAAATTTGAATAAAATTGAGTTTTGCCTTCAGCAATTAAAATTTAATTTTGAATAAAATTGGGTTTCGCCTTCAGAAATTAAAATTCACAGGTATCCTGTTAATACAAACCCGACAATATACCTCCCCAACTACAATTTTTTATTTATATAAAAAACAAATTCCGGAAAAAGTATCAGCTCACCAGGAACATAAAGTATAAATACCTCTTTAACAAATTAAATGCCTACGTAAAAATTCGTTTAAACAGTTGGAGGAACTTAATTGGCAGGAAACTCTTAGAGAACTGTCTCCTGGTTATAAAACATTTTGGAAAATACATAAAATTCTAACAAATCGTCCCCACCATATTCCTCCAATCAAACTATCAAACAGTTTCGCCTATTCTAATATAGAGAAGGCAGAAGCCATGGCAAACTATTTTACATTAGCATCTAATATTTCGGCTGACCTAGGCACCAACAACCACACTCGAACTATCAGAAAATCAGTAAAAAGCTTTTTCAAAGAACCAGTTAGAAATACATTCCCTTTAATCTCATTCAAAGAGATGAAACAAGTTATAAAGCAGTTAAAAACTAAAAAATCGCCCGGTATAGACTCTATACCCCCCATTGCTATTAAGAAATAAAGCAAAAAGGCTATTTTATTCCTAACAAAGACGTATAAAATTGTATGCTTCGCTTTAGATATTTTCTGACAGCTTGGAAAACAGCAAAAATCATAACGATTCCGAAACCAAACAAAGACCCAGCAGATGTTCGTAGTTACACACCAATAAGTCTACTTAATATAATTTCAAAACTTTTTGATTAACTACTTTTAAAAAGAATACTGAGCATATATCTCAAAATAGTCTGATATCTAACGTGCAATTCGGGTTCAAAAAACAGCATTCAACAGTAGCCCAACTAGCCAGACTGACCGACTATACTATCAAAGCGTTCAATGAAAAGAAGCACGTCGGTATGCTCTTCCTAGACATAGAAAAAGCTTTTGACACAACATGGCATGAGGGTATCATCCATAAACTCATTTTATATAAATTCCCACCTTACATAATCCACCTCCTTCACTCATATCTCAACAATAGATCCTTTTGCATTACAATAAAGAATACCCATTCAACAATCCATTTCCTATCTGCAGGTCTCCCTCAAGGCTCCTGTCTTTCTCCTACACTATTCAGCCTATACATCTCAGACCTCCCTTCCATTCCTTCAGTAAAATACTCCTTATATGAAGATAATAGCTGTATTATCGACACAGCATTTTAGAATCGACACTATAACTAACATATTACAATCCCAATTCATAAAACTCTGCAAGTATTTTGAAAAATGGAAAATAAAAAAAATGATAAAAAAAAAAAAAAATGATAAATGCACTTTTGT